TTTAACTCAAAAAAGTCCTTTAATGAATATGATTTAAAATGTCTAGTATGATCTTTATAAACGTTTGATATATCTTCAACAACCCAAGATAAAGGTGGACGAAACGATAATTTATCAATTGGCATTTTTTTTTACGGTACACAAAAATTCCATTATTATTGTTTTTTTATTGATAATCTTTTTGGATTTTTTTTTTTTTTTTTTGAAAATGACAAAGTTACAAAATTCAACCAATACTTCAACAATTGCAATTGGTTACTATAATTCGCAAGAAGATCTTGATTCTATAACGACAGTTTCAAAATCTAGAGAATTCGGTTATGATTTTGTTGTCTTGCCTTTAACAAATACAAATTATAAAAGATTTTTATTTGAAAATGTTAATCATAATAACAAAGAAACTGTTGGACTGGAGAAATGGAGAAATGGAATGCCATTAACTTTAGATGATTTAGTAATTAAAACAGCCGGTAAAATCAATATTAATTTGCATGTAGGATTATTGTGAAAATAATAAGATCATTAAAAGAAATTCTACATATAATTAGATAATCGTGAAATTACTATAGGGAAAATTCCAGAATGGATAAATTTAGATTCATCTGATCAAAATATTCGAATAAATTCTGAAATAGTAATATACAAAGTTTTTTTGTTCATGGAAAAAAACTAAAACTTCATATTAATTTAATCAATATATATTTGCGCATATTTTTGAAGGCTTTAAAACAGCAATTGTCATGGGCAACTCATTTAGGACTCACAGCAGTTTTAATACCATTTCCATCAGAATTATTGTTTAATTATGCTAGATGCTTAAATTCAATTTTTAGTGGATTACTTTATACTCAAGTATATACTCATGCATCCATATCCATATGTACATTGTGATGATTTGATTAAACTAATTGTGATTTGTAATTATTATAATTAGATTTGGATTAAGATCCCATTGACTATTGATGATAGTAATGATAGAATTGTTACATGGGAAAGATGGAATAAAATCAGAACACTTTGTGATCATCATTTCAAATTAAACATTGGTAAATTAGAATTTTTAATTCAAAAAAATTTTTTTTTTAGCGCTTTTAAATTAATTGTGTGATGTATTTATATTATATTGATTATTAGCTTTAGAATTAACAGCAAATTTACCTGATGAACATTTAATTGAAAAATGGTATGCAGAACCACTCAAAGCTGTAATATTGTCCATAAAAATATTTTTAAAAAATGCCAAAGGATATCCTGTATTAAGTAAAAAACATCAATCAATTATACGTAAACTTATGAAAGTAATTATTAATTATTAATTTATTTCTTTCATTTATTATTTATTATTTACAAATCTTTTTTTCCCTCGCTTCAAGTTTAAACCAAGTTTCATAATTTTCGATGATTCGGTAGATCAACAACAAAACACAAATGAAGAATTATCGAATTATCATGAATATTTAAGATATTTAAATCGTAAATTGCCAGAATTAAATTCAGTTGAAAAATTTGCTATGGGATATCAAGATTATCTACAATCTCCATTACAAGTAATTCTTTAACAATAATTATTACTGAATTATAAATTAATTAACAACAATTAATCAATCAATATATTAGCCATTAATGGATAATTTAGAATCATCGACTTACGAGACATTTGAAAAAGATCCTATAAAATATCAACTTTATGAAAAGGTGCCGATTAATCTTTCTTAAATTTGAAAATTGAATCATATTAATATTAATGTTTTTAGGCAATTTATCACGCATTGCTTGACCGAGTTCCATTTGAATCTGATGAAGTCACGTATGTAATTTTGAAAATTTTGAAAATTTTCACTGAATTTTTTGATTTATCGCATAAAAATTATATTGTGAAAAGTGTTATAATGGTAGTAGGCGCAGGCCGTGGTCCATTAGTGACGAAAAGTTTGATTGCTGCAGAAAAGGCAAAAAGAAAAATTAAAGTTTATGCGGTTGAAAAAAACCCTAATGCATTTGTAGTGTAAATATATAAAATTTCCTCATATGTATTTGTTCATATATTTTGAATTTATGATTAAAAATATTTTTATTGGTTTAATTTTTTTTTAGATTACAAAATAAAAAATTGGAAACTTGGGGTGATGAAGTAAAAATTGTATTTTCTGATATGCGATATTGGAATGCTCCTGAAAAGGTATATAGTATATATATATATATATATATATATTAATTTGTTAACTGATTAATTGAATTGATTGATAATTTATTTAATAATACCTGAAATTACATCTTAACAGGCTGATATAATGGTGAGTGAATTGTTAGGCTCATTTGGCGATAACGAATTGTCACCCGAGTGTTTGGATGGTGCACAAAAATTCTTAAAATGTAAGTAAAAACAAAATAATTATTGTTATTATTATTATTATTATTATTAATTATTAATTATTCAATTGATAATTTCAATAGCTGATGGTATATCGATACCATCATCATATACAACTTACATTGCACCATTATCATCACACAAGCTTTATAATGAAGTAGCATCATATAAAGATTTAGTGCACTTTGAAACACCTTACGTTGTAATGTTTCAACAAGTTAATTTATTATCCGATCCAAAAGAATTATGGAATTTTCATCATCCAAATAAAAATATAAAATTTAATAATCATGGTTTGTTGAAATTAAAGAGAAAGTTATTTTTATCTTTTCAACTACTACTATTCTATTACTAACAATAATAATAATAATAATTAATTATTAGATAGTCCAATCAATAATTATCATAATACAAGATATACAAAATTATCATTTAATATAAGTAGTAATAGTATCTTGCATGGTATCGCTGGATATTTTGAATCAATATTATACAAGAACATTGTCATGAGCATAAATCCTTCAACTTATTCTGAAGGAATGTTTAGTTGGTTTCCAATTTTTTTTCCTTTAAAGGTGACCGATAATCATTTGTTTATTTATTTAATTGAAGCTTTTTAATATTAATTAATCAATTAATTGTGGTTGACTGCTTTACCAGACACCAATCTATTTACCAAAAAATTCAAATTTAGATATACATTTCTGGAGATTGACAAACAATAAAAAAGTTTGGTACGAATGGTCAACCGATTCCCAATTATTATTAAATAAAAATGATAAAGACGAGGAAAATAAAATCAATTTAGACTCTTCGATTATTCATAATGTCGAGGGAAGATCAAGTTGGATTGGATTATAATTTAAAAACAAAGAAATTTTTTTTTGGTTACTATTACATATGTAATATCAATTATAATACATCCAAATAAATTGATCTGAAAAAAACCAATTGAATAAGTTCAATGAGGACCCCAGCCAATTTTATTAATATCGGCCCAAATTATAATAATAAAGTAAAAATGTCACGTATCAATTCCGAAGATTAAAATCTTAAAATATTTTTAAAACGGATGGAATTAAAAAAGAACTCTGCACTTGGAAAATTCTTGTGTAATCAAGACAAGAAAAACAAATGAAATTGAGTGAGAAATTATTATTTTAGATAGCTTAGATTAATTAAATATTTTTTTTTATGGACAATGGTGATTCTACTAATTCTAAAGAAGACTTTGAAAATAATAGTGAATTTTTATTTCAATTACTGACTAATAATATAAAGCCAAAAGAGCGCACAAAAAAGAAGCAAAAGAACTCTTTGATATTTTTATCACGTGAAATCAGCAGATCTACAAATGAGATATAAAAAAGTAGGACGTATTATTATGACAAACACTGTATTACAAATATTTTTTTCCCAAATACAGTATATACATCCTCTATATTTTTTTTTTATTTCATAAACTACATAAACATACAAGAAATAAATTATTTTTTCAATAAAATTAAAATAAATTTATTGATATATTAATAACAAATTTCTATTAAATATCTATTAAACATACCACCAAACACGTTAAAACTTTTTTACTACTAACGTTATTTTATTTTATTTTTTATTTTATTAAAAAAAAAATAGGATGTCGGATTTACTTTCCACCACACAAACTGAAGACTTTGAAAGATTCTTGGAACAAAAGGACTTTGACAGTTGGCTTCAAGAAGAAACCTCATTAAACGAAGGTTATCTAAATGAACACAATAAAACTGAAGATGATGGCTCGAATATAGATAGTAGTAGCTCTCCAAATTTAGATTATAACTACATAGAAGAGGACCCTGAGCTTGAAGAAATTCTCAACGACAAAAAAGATGATACCGAATACTTGGATGACCAACAACAACAACAACAACAAGACAAAGTTGAAGAAGAAATAGAAGGACTGTTGTCAATAAAAGGGTTGTTATCAGAACAATCACTACAACATCAACAACAAATAAATTTATTTGAAAAAGAAACTCCTTTGCATGATGATGATGTAAAGGAAATTGAATCATTATTAGCAGAAGATAAAATAAAAAAAGAAGTGGAGGCTAAAGAAGGTGGTAAACGACTTAATAATAATAATGATAACAATAATATAAATTCAGAATGTAATAATAATGTAACTGATAGGTTAGACAATAAAGAAATTCACGAGAAAATAAATTCAACAGAAAATGGTAATTCAGTTATTGTCAATGAAGTAATTTTAGGTGAAGACGATGAAACTTATGTCGAAGGAGGTGGTAATCAAGTGATTGACCAAGTGATTAATGATGTTCAAGATGGCCAGATTATTGATGATGAACATCAAATTCATGTTGATGACCATGTTAACGGTGAAATACTTTATGAAGAAGAATCAATGATGCGTACTGAAGCTACTGGCAATCTGGAAACCAAGATTGATAAAAATAATGTGTTACATCATTCACGTACAATGAGTGGTGAACGTTTTCGATGTATTTTGGCATATGAAGGGAATGAAAATCCCATTTTCATAAAATCTGACAAGATCGTAGGTGAATTTATGGAAGACCTAAAGGTTGATTTGATCTGTGACGAAAATTTAATAAAAGACCATGAAGTTGTATTAACATTTATTGACTCGGTCAAAGATTTCGAATTAATTTTGACAGAGGTAAAAAGAAGTTTTTTTTAAAAAGAAAGTATTGTATTATTATCTTAATCATTAATGGTTTTTTAATTAAAATTTTAATCAATTTAAGGATAATAAATACGCCGATAAACTTACATTGGGCAATATAATAGAAGCTCATAAAGGGTTTCAAAAATTATATAATATTGTTTCAAGCGATCTTGTTATTATGGTCTCACTACAGGTCCGATTTATTTCACGTTTTCAACAATTTTTTAATGGTAAAGATTTTTAAAATTTATTTATTTTTATTTTCATTCAATAAATAAATACATTGATAATATAAAAAAATTGTTATTTAATGAGAAATAATTAATAAAACAATTTTATCGAATAGATAATGAATCATACGAGGCCCAAGAATCAATTTTAGGTGTTGACGATTACATAGAGAATAATGATTTGTTAATGGACGAAGTTCTTTATCATGAAGGAGGGGAAGTTGATGTAGGAAGAGGAAGAGGAAGAGGAAGAGTGGGAGTAGGAGAAATAGAACTAATTACTAACGAGTTTGAATTAGAAGATTCTTTATTAATGAATGACAATAATAACTTTAAGATCGACGGTTTTAATTTTTCTAGGAAAAGAGAGAGATCTCCGGGGCCTGACAATGAAGGTAAAAATCATATTATTTTGCTTTGCTTGTGTTGTTCTTTATTAATTTATATATAATTAATCATTTTCTTTGAAAAATTTATTTAGAAATTTTCAAAAAGAGAATTAATGTTTAGATTTTTGCTTTTATTTTTTAAAAAAAAAGATTACTTCTTCTTTGATGCTGTTCTTTTATATCTATTAAAAAAAACATTGGTTTGTTTGAATCTTGTTATTTTTTTAAAAAAAATATTAATTGCTGTAAAGGTAGGAATGAAGGAAGGTAAAAAGAGAGATGTATATATATATTTTTCCGCACTACATCTAATTTATAATTGTAATGAATTATTGAAATAATAAAAAATAAATATTTAATATTAAATAAAAAATTTTTGTGATCAATATTAAATATTGATATTAATATTAAAAAAGTCTTATTTTTTCCGAAACGAAATAAAAATAAATGACAACTAGCACTAGCATTTCTTCTTCGCAGTCGACCGAAATGCGTCATATGCGTCCTTATGTACATTATCATTGTTCATGTCCCGATCTACTTAAACCTGAAGATGATAAAGAAGAGACAAAGGTTGTTTCAAAGGTTTCTGATGTTGTAACTACCTTAACGGAAGAAACAGAAACAGAAACAGAAACTACAACTACTATCACCACAACAAAAACCATTACTACTTTACCACCTTTTAATATCAACTCGCCACGTTTTCATTTTACAACCTTTAATATATCCAAGCTTTATTTTTGTGATGACTGTCATCAAATACGTTGTCCAAGATGTGTACAAGAAGAAATAGTTTGCTATTATTGTCCAAATTGTTTATTTGAAGTTCCGACTGCTAGTGTTAAAAGCGAACGGAATAGGTATGTTGTAAGCAATACTGCTAATAGGTTTGTTAGCAAGTTAGCATAATATTTACATACGTGTATATTTTATTTATTTATTTGACTAAAGTCTTTTTCAATCAATAAATCAATAATTCAACCATTACTACTACTATTATTATTGTTACTGTTTGTTTTATTTAAAGATGCGCAAGGAATTGTTTTCAATGTCCAATATGCCAAAATACACTTTCAGTTATGGCTTCTGCTGAACCGACGCCACCACCAACAACAACAACAACAGCAATTGCTACAACAACAACAACTACAGCTGTTACTACTACAGCAGTAAGTCCATCTGCTACACCAGCACTAATTAGCGGTGCACCATACTATCTTTCATGTGGGGTTTGTCGATGGGACTCACAAGAAATTGGAATGACTTTTGAGAAAGCAACCGGATTAGCATGTAATTATAATAAAATTTTATTATGAAAAAGGTTTAAATAGAATAATATGTGAATTTTTTGAATGTAAAAAAAAAATAGTTTTTTAATTTTTTTTATTTGTTCGTTATAATGATGAGTTTAGTACAACTTCAAAAAACTGAAGACGAGAGACCCGATGTTAAAGAATTCGATCATCTTAAAGAACATTTTGAAAAACATTTACGACACACTACTCCAGCCACAACATTACCTACTTCATTAATGACAATCACAGGAATAGGTGGTGGCAGCAGTTTTAGTAGTAGATATGGTAGTGGAACTGTTGCTGGTAATGCCCAACAAAAATCAGATGATCTTCCTTTATATGAAGCTGTTGTTAAAGTTGAAAATGAGAACTCATTAGTTGATGATTTGGTTCAATTGAAAGATGTCAATCAAAGTAATTATTTTAAAACGATTACTATTTATTAACTAATCAATTAATCAATTAATCATTTAATCAATTTGTTTGTTTGTTAAAAGTTACAACATTGATGCAAAGAATGAATCAACTGAGTGATCAACCGTACAAAGTAGAGTATGTATTAACCAATCAAAAAATAACAATTTAACTTAAATTAACTTTAATTTATTATTTGTTTTAATAGACGCCTTCAACCACAGCGTATACATCTTCGTACAAAACGTATTAAAAGATGTAGACAATGTCGGCATATATTAATAAAACCTGAACAGAAAGCTCAAGCAACTAGATTTAAAATTAAACTTGTTGCATTGTAAGTGGATTGTTATAAAAAGTATCATAAAATAAAAAATCTTCTGATTCATTTTTTTTTATTTTTAATCTTGCAGAGCTTATATTCCAAAAATCACCATTATGAGTCTACCAAAACTCATACTAAATCAAACCACTCAGATTGTTTTAAAATTTTCAAACCCGTTATATGAAGAAATTATCTTGGATCTGAATGTACAAGATGTTGAACTTGGAAAAGTAAATATCAAAATTTTTTATATATTTTATGCCTAGACGTGTGTGAATTTGATTTTTGTTGATGAATATTTGCTTTATTTATTATTATATTATTTATTAGATTAAAGTTCTTGCGCCACATTTTAGTATTGCACCATATAATGAAGTATGGGAATACGATGAACATGATTTGATCTCTTCAAAACCTCGTTCTCACACATCTCCTAAATCTGACATTGGTATTTATGAAAGAAGAAGTAACTCTACAAGTATCATTTTGGAAATCACGCCTGAAGTTGAAGTTGAAGAATTTAAGGTTTTGCAATAATAATAATAATAATAATAATAATAATAATAATAATAAATGTATTAATGATTTATATTTTATTACTTTATAGTTTGCATTATTAGTTACTTATGCTACCAAGAATGTTGATAATAACAATGAATCAACAATTGCATCTACTGATACCAAATCCGACGACAAAGATAATACAACCAAGACAGATCCTGAATCAAATGAAAGCAGTGATAAATCTGCAGTTGGATCTAAAACTAATGACACTGACACCCAAACCAAAGACAATTCGACTAAAAGAGCAAAAAAAATCTCTTTTTCTTCAACATCACCTAATAACAACGATCAAGCTATGAAAAATTTGTCGTTTTGGACTGTTATAGGATTAGGTTCGGTGGTTAAGACTGGACCTTCAAATAGGCATACAATCAGTAGTCCTGGTGGAACTAGTAATATTAGTTTGTCACGTAGTATAAATATGAAATCACGTCCACAATCACAAGCATAATGACCAGTGATTCAATTAATTAATAATACATCTCTGTTGTGCGTATTAATTAATTAATTATTTATTTATTTTTCTATCTGTATTTTTTATATTCAAATAAAGTTCGCACGTGCAGATTTTTATTGACTGTTACACTTATAACGCCCCGTTAAATTTATTCGTATGAATTTTTAATGATAGCACCAGTGAGGTAATGTGTGGTGGACAAATGGAACGTATCATGTTACACGTCAGTATTGTTATAAATTTGGACTAGTTACATGACGAATTATACACTGCATATTAATATTTAATATATAGCACAGGATCCCGGATTATAAATTGAGGTAACATCTGATTATGATTGTTTTTTTTGCTGAAGTTACGTGAAAATTTGGGTAAAGACTTTTAATAGGTGGTGTGACTGTTTTGGGCATAGCAGAAAATTTTTGTTATAAGCCATACATATTCAAAATCAGGAAAAGCAATTTTTGTGTCATATGAAATTAGAGGACAAGGAAAACTTCATCGCCAACACTATTACTATGATTCGAAAGGAAAAGATGACTGCGACACTATAATTCAATTTAGATCCAAATAGTGAAAAAATACGTCATAGATTTACTAACTACGGTGCAGATCATCTATAATCATTAATTGCTTATATATAGTAACAATTTGTCAACTTCAATACTAAAACAAAAAAAAATTATATCATTTTAAAAAATTTATTGTTCATGACTCAAGCTTCAAAACTTATCGAGCTGGTTTCTTCTTAAACTGAAAATTGGCTGAGCCTTAGCATTTTGAAAATTCCGAATTTTGTTATACACTTAAGAAATTGAGACTAAGTAAATTTCGTGTAACAACTTTTTTTTTTCATAGAATATTTTCTACAACATACATTTGACTTATTTGACTTATTTATTTCCTTTTTTTTTAATTAATATTAAATAAAAGTTCCTTACTATTTATTACAACAAAAAAGTTTAACAAACATATTACATTAAAAGAAAATAATTACCAAATTTGGTCGTGAGATTAAAATATTGTAACACGAAAATTATTGTTGCATAACTTTCGAATTTAAAAAAGAAAATTTGACAAATTTTTTTTTTTAGATTAATAGACTCCCTTTTTAAAGCTGAATTGAATGGCGGCGAGTTTTTTTAAAATCCAATCTGTGGATCACATACATAATATTTCAAAAATTTTAACTTTTGAGTATAGATGATCCGCACTGTAGTACCATATAGCTCATTTTTTGTTTTCCTAAACGGAAAAAATCCACCAATCAACTTTCGAGATTCGTGTCCTTTTACATATTTCCAATACCAAATGCTAAATTACAAAAATTTATTATTATTATTATTTTCACAATTACTTCTATTTTATCTAGATTCAGATACGGGTTTATTAAAGAATTAGTGAAGAACACCAACAACTATACAAATATCAATATGATTTTCAGTTAAAAATATATTGACGTGCCTTATGTGGTTAGAGTGAGCGTGTTTAGCCAAGAGATTTGCTGAGATTGTGACCAATTATCTCATTTCATTGATTTCATTTAAATTCAGTTGTCAATGATATCATAAATGAATGATAATGGTGTTGTATGAAACACGGAACAATTGAGCTTCGTAGAAACGATTTGATGATCTAATGCAAGATAAGAGAAAAGCTGTGGTGGCAAAGCTTATAATTTTTGATGTTTTATATGCTAAGAATGTTGTTGGGAAACAGTTATACAATTGTAAGCGTAAATTTGTTAGTACATTAATGCTAACTACAGTCAAACCTCGTCACAGCGGACTTCGCCACAACGGATTTTCTTGTTACAACGGATTTAAATATTGGTCCCTTTTTTTATAACGGATTTTTGATGGGGGTCTTTCTACATTAATATGGCTACTAGTCTCATCACAGCGGATTCACATGACATGTAAATTATGAAATTTATCCCCAAATTACCAAAATTGAAGGTCAGTATTAAAATAAAGCAATAAAGCCAACAATTTTATCCAAAGATTTATGAGTAACAAATTTTCTAAAATAAACCAATACAAACAATTGATATATTATTTGTCCAAATGTTTACGAGTAACAACTTTTTTTTCAAGTTTCTAAAATAAACCAATTAACAAACAATTGATAGATTATTTGTCCAAATTTTTGCGAGTAACAAAATACTAAAAATATATTAATAAACCAACAATTGATAGTTATTTATCCGAATGTGTGCAAGTAAAAAAGTTGCTAAATAAAACAATTGATAATAAAGTCAATTGAATTTAAAGCATTTAAATCATTGAAAAGAAAAATGGAAAAACTAATACAACAAAATAATTTATTTCTGACTTCATATTTAGATATTATTATTAAATTTTTTTTGCCGATCATCAATTTTGCCACAGCGGATTTCTTGTCACAACGAATTTTTTTAGCTGCTACCATCAATCCGCTGTGACGAGGCTTGACTGTATATCTTATTCTATGTTAAGCCACTGCAATTATGTAGATATTAGCAGTGGATTTAGTTGAATATTGACTAGCTAGTTGGAATTAGTAGATATTATATATTTAGTTTTTTGGTGATGAGACTTGAGTTAGTAAGTAATAAAACTTTTAGCTGGACACGCAGAAAGAGGGTTATTTTTTATTTGATATTTTGATTATATGGAATTATGAATTTATTAAGATTTCAAATCAACGAAATAGTCAATAAAATGTTGTTCATTCACTGCAATCTCTCTATACGGAGTCATTAACTAGCCTTGGCCAAGGACTTAATCATAAATTTTATCAGCTGTTTTTCTTGCTATGACTTTCTTCAAACATTTATGTTTTAAATACGACATTTAAGCACAAAGATTTTGGAAAATTATAAAAATGAATAACAAAGAAACCAACAAATTGGTTATTATATGAGTAAGTCAACATAGAGTATTCAGTGCGGAAATAAAGAAATTGCTAAATATCTTTATGAATATAAGAAAGACGGACATGATTATATTAAATGGGTGGCTTTTAATGAATTTGATAGTGTAGAATAAATATATTTGGCTAAAGGTGGATTTGGGGAAATCTACAATATAAAGCATTTTGGAAAAACGAATAATTCAAAAAATCAAATTTCTGAAAAATAAAATTTCTGATATCATCACGTTAATTAACCTGTTTATTACCCACCAGGGCTGGCAGCGTAAAGGGTTAAAAACCTAATTTAGTAACAATCATTTTGATTAAACTTGACTAAACTTGACTTAACATATTAATATGACTAAATAGTTTAGTCAGTTTAGCCAACGTGCTCATTTGAGTTACGCAGCCAGCCCTGATTACCACCACTATCAAATCACTTCAATTAAGATCACATTATGAATTTGCCCACTCTTTTATCGATCTATGTTTTGTTTGGGATAACGAAAGATCTAAACAAGATGATTATTTATTCATTTTTTGATTATGCGAAGCTTGGGAAATTGCATAGCTATTTGTTAAAAGGCTTTATAGAATTCACACGGAAAGATAAAATAAGATCTCTTTGTAGTACTTCATCTGTGTATGTTCTTATTAAATATAAATTAAACTATAAAATGAGTCATTTTATTAATAAAATTTATTTTTTTAATATAATAGATTAGTTAAAAAGTCATCACAATAATGGGAATATGGTATAATTACATATCTAGCATCTGAGGTTATTTATACAAAAAATCTTTTATGATGTGGCACATGATCATCTAATATTTGACATTCGGGGAGGAACGAGACCTGAAATTACCTGAATTCTATGCTGAATCGATGAAAAAATGTTGGGAAATCAGAGATATTTTTAGTAAATATTGTTTGTATAGATATCCGAAGAAAAGCAAAGAATAATTGGATTTAGCAGAAATCAAAAGAGACTCGAAATTATAATAAAAAATTTTTACCGGAAGCATCCTACACAAGTCGTCTACTAAGTCGATTGATCAAAAGTCTATTGCCACAACGTCTCGTCATCAATATGCTACTTTGTTTACAAAATATAGATGTGGAATTCAATTATGTAATATTTATGTGATTGGCATTTTGATTGATGCAACAAATAAAAATTGATCTTCATTTCTTTCACTTCCTTCAGGGTTTTTTTTTATTTTTTAATTAAATTTAAATTAAATTAATTAAATTAATTAAATAATTTAAAATATTAATTCTTGTTTGCTTTGAAATCATGTCGTGTAAATTTTGGATTTTTAATTTTGTAACAATAATAACTAAAAAACTTAATTAAGTAAATAATCAAATTAACCAATTATACAAACAAAAAAGAATTATTCCTTCTAATAATATTTTATTTATAATAATAAAACTTTTGGATTTATTTTTTTAAAGATTAGAAATATATAAATTTTACATTGTGTATAATAATAGAAACAACCATAATACAATAAAATAAAAATGTCTTGTGATCTAAGTGACCCCGCCATCACAGTAGCGTATGAAGAGATCATAAATGGTCAAGACACCGAATGGTTAGTTTCTTTGAAAGTTTTCTTCTAAATCTAAACACACGCATGTTTTTTTTTGTAAAAATAGCATTGATTTGATATTTTATTTGTTTTTAGGCTTATCCTTGGATATAACGATACAAGAGATAAGATTTCTTTATACTCAAAAGGTTCACATGGACTTGAGGGGCTTCGAAGTAATTTAAAAGATGAAGTATTATATGGATTTATAAGGATTGAAAATAAATTTGTTTTATTAACTTATGTTAGTGAACAAGTCAGGTATGATAGTAAATTTCAATCATTTTACTTTTTTATACAAGGGTAAAAATAATCATTTACTAATTATTTATCTTTTAAATAATATAACATAATCAGTGGTGTAAGAAGAGGTAAAAAATCATTATTACAGATCAAAATAATTATTAAAATAAAATAATAATGGCAATGATTAATTAATCTATAAAAATTAATCATTTGTCATTTTATCTATCCATCTATCGATTTGTCGATCCATATTTATAGCCCGTGCTTTAGTTCATGGTAGAGCAGTTGGTGCATTATTCAAGGTAAGAATAAATGATTTTTACCCTAATCAAAAGAATCAAACCATTCTAAATGGTTTTAATTAATTGTTGGTGATGCATTACTAAAATTACATGTATTTCAAAACGTTTATAATAACGTCAAGCAGGCGCATCAAATACAAATTAGTGCTTCAACACCAAACGATCTTTCAGAAGCAAATGTACGTAATCGTTTGAAACTTGGCGAACCCGATAAATCGTCTTCAATACCAAAAAGAGGTAATACTCTAAATAATAATATTAGTAATATCATCAATTCTATTGATTCTTCGAATCAAATTCCATCACCAACCTCACCAAAATCATCAAAATTACCGGATAATAACAATAATAATGAGATATATGATTATGATGATGATGACGACAGCGATGAAATCATTGAAAGAAATCCAGGAGTTGCACAAGAAGATGCGGATAAAAAAGCAAACGAAGCGATCATTCAAAAACAAGCAGCAGAACAAGCTGCAAAGGAAGCATTTCAAAAAAAAACGTCAGAAGAAAAAAACAAGAGAGCTGTCGAAGAACAAGAAAAAAAAATGAAGGCGGCAGAGACTGCTGCTGTCGCTGCTGCAGAAGCTGAAGCCAAAGTTAAAGCTGAAATGGATCGTAAAACTCGTGAAGAAGCTGAACGAAAACGGAACGAAGAACTTCGATCCAAATTTGCAGATTTAGAAAAAAGTGGCAAGGTAATTAATGATAACAAGAATGTTATTATTTTTATTATATTATTGTAATTTTATTGTAATTATTTTTGTGATGCCCATTATTATAGGTTGCGTTAAATGGTTTTCTTACTGTTCAAGGTGGCGGAGTTTATGTAAGTTTTTCCTTTCTTGGTCTTTTTTATCTTGTATGTAAATTAATAATAATAGTTGGATAATCTAAAAACATTTAGTTTTGGAAACGTCGTTTCTTTGAACTTCGCGGAAAAACACTCTATCTTTTCCGTGACGAGAATGACAAACTTCCGATCTCTAAACTTGAGCTTGATGGACAAATTGCCGGCGTAACAGATGCACAATCTGAAGTTTTGATACTTAATTCTTTTAAAGTTGATTTCAAAACATCAGAAGCCTATTATTTCTTTTCTGATGATAAAAAAGATAAAGAATCAATTGTTACCGCTATAGGAAGATATGTTAAATAATTTATTCCTTTATTGGAAAGGCGAATTTTGATTTAATTTAACTTAATTTATTAGATTTACACTTATATAATTTAACTATTTTGGACAACATAAAATAAATGTATATCAAAAAAAAAAATAATAAAATAAACAAATGTATTGTATACATAATATAATATAAATAATTGTCATTTGTCATTTGTCATTTCAGTCATAATACAAGCAATGAACACACATAATACGTAATGTTTTAAATCTAATCTTATCATGGCGCGCGAAACAGAATAGTTTATTACGGAATATTTTTTTTACCAAAAGAGTACATTGTATATATCAATCTTGAATGAATGAAACATTTTATTTTGATAATCAGCTTCCATATTTACATACAACAAATAAAAATCTGATAAATTTAAAGAGCAATCTTATCTTATCAGTTAAAATCCAACACTACCTATGATTTGGACTGGGACCAGCGTCGAAAAATTAGTACAAATTTGGAAATTTTATGCAAAAATTTTATATTTCTGTATATCGTAACACTGTCAGTAGGCCCGTTGTTGGAATTTAACCAGTTTTTGCATCTTTAATTTGATTTTATAAAGTTTTGACGTAGCGCATAGTGCATGAGAAGAAATCGTTGGTGGAGAAAGAGAAAAGAAAAGAAACTTTAAATTTTTTGGAATTCGGGTCCTCGTTGATCAATGGCGCTCTTAAAATACTAATACACGACAATTATTATTATCGCTATTACCCGGACTTGTAAGTTTAGTATTACATTTATTATATGAGATATTCAATCTATATATCTTATGTGTAACATTTCTAGTAATATATAAGCTCAAAAAATTTTTATCGTCGCCATATTCTGATATAATAATATAGTTTCTTCAATTAATTTCCTAAATAATTAACCAAAGTTTTTAATAATATATTTTTCCAATAAAATTATGTAAGGATTATTTTATAATGTTGATATATATGATAGATGTTTTCTTAAATATTCACATTCAATCTAAAATCCTTTCTAGATAATCATGTGTGGTATCTTTGCTGTATTCAATTATCAAGGTGATGCACAGGCCTTTCGTAGACGAGCTTTATTACTTTCAAAAAAGTATGCAAGATCCTTTCCTTTTCTTCACTTTTTAAACCATTCAATTGCCTGATCGAATGAATCACCTTTAAATTCTAACGTTTGTATTGTTTAGATTGAGACATAGAGGTCCTGATTGGAATGGATGTATAATCACTGGCAATCATATCCTTTGTCATGAACGTTTAGCTATTGTTGGTGTTGGTAAGAAATTCATCATATATATGTATATATATAATTATAAATATGAAAATTCAAATTATTAAAACTTGTATTGTAAATTAATTATCTTTTATAGGGAGTGGTGCTCAACCATTAACAAATGAAGATGGATCAATAATTCTTTCGGTTAATGGAGAAATTTATAATCATAAAAACTTAGAAAAATCACTCAGAGGAGATGTTAAATTCAAGACACAATCAGATTGTGAAGTTATTCTTCATTTGGTAATTTCAAAAATATTTACACATTATATATTTTTTTCTCCACTCCCGATTTTTAAAATAAATAATTTTTTTTTATTTTGAATTAACTTTTTTTTAATCAAACAATAATAATAGTATGCTGAAATAGGAAAAGAGGTTGCTAACAAATTGGACGGAATTTTTTCTTTTGTACTTTTGGATGTCAATAAGAACCGATTCATTGCTGCACGCGATCCAATCGGTGTTACTACTTTGTATCAAGGGTGGTCATCTTCTTCACCTGAAACTGTTTACTTTGCTTCTGAATTAAAAGCGTTGAATGAGGATTGCGATCAAATTATTCCATTTCCACCTGGTCATATATATGATTCAGAAACTGGTGAAACTACCAGATATTATACTCCTAGTTGGTGGGATGGAAATCTTATACCAAGAAAACCGATCGATTATACTTTACTAAGAACAACTTTGGAAAATTCTGTAAAAAAAAGATTGATGAGTGATGTACCATATGGTGTATTACTGAGTGGTGGCTTGGATTCTAGTTTAATTGCTTCGATTGCATCAAGAGAAGCACTTAAATTATCTGCGGTAGTTAATGGAAATGATGGCGACTTGGGTTTGTATATGATATATTACTTCTCTTTTTTTTTTAAAAAAAAATAAATTAAAAAAATTAACAAACATATTCCTTTATTATTATTTTTTTTTTTTAAAAAAGGTGAAGCAATCAATTTTCAAAAATTATATTCATTTTCAATTGGGCTTCCCGAGTCACCTGATTTAATAGCTGCACGTAAAGTTGCAGAGTTTCTTGATACAAATCATCAAGAATACACTTTTACAATTCAAGAAGGATTAGACGCGGTACATGATATAATTTATCATTTGGAAACTTATGATGTAACAACTATCAGAGCAAGTACACCAATGTACTTACTATCAAGAAAAATTAAAGCAATGGGTGTTAAAATGGTATTAAGTGGTGAAGGAAGTGATGAAATACTTGGAGGTAATTTATTTTATTACAAATCAAATGAAATAAATTATTTGTACACCAGGTTTGGCAATCTATCAGGTCCATTGAAGCTTGTGTATTTTGGTTTGGTCTATTAGCATTAATAAATTGTTAAATATGGTTGCCGATAGATTTAATGGACTGGTCAACGGATTATCAATTGCCAACTCTGATGTGCACATTTATATATTTACATTGTCAATTAAATTTATAATATTATTATTTAATCCTATTATTATTAGGGTATTTATATTTTCACGCTGCACCTAACTCTGAGGAATTTCATAAAGAGACAGTTACACGAGTGAAAAATCTTCATACAGCTGATTGTCTTCGTGCTAATAAATCCACAATGGCATGGGGACTTGAAGCTCGTGTACCATTTTTAGATAAGGATTTTCTTGATGTGGCAATGACAATTGATCCAGAAGAAAAATTATTTAAAGAAAATAGAATGGAAAAGGTATGAAATTAGTCGGTTGATTGATCAATTAGTTTATTTTTTAATTTTGATTTACTATGATGATGATGATGGTGATAATTATATTTTTATTATTTATATTAGTATATCCTTCGTAAGGCTTTTGATGTATCAACAACTGGTGACCCACGACCATACCTCCCAGATTCAATTCTTTGGCGACAAAAAGAACAATTTTCTGATGGTGTAGGTTATAGTTGGATTGATTCATTGAAAGAAGCTAGTGAAAATCATGTTAGTGATGAAGAATTTGCTAAAGCCGCAGAAAGATGGCCTATCGACACACCAACAACAAAAGAAGCATATTGGTACAGAGAACAATTTGAAACGTGGTTTCCTGGTGATGTGTGTGCTCGAAGTGTTGACAGATGGATTCCAAGATCTGATTGGGGTAAATATATTTGTTTTTTGTGAGGTTATTTTTGAATGGTTTTTTACGAAAAAAATTAAAAATTTTTTTTTTGTAAAAATAGGCTGTCCCGAAGACCCATCTGGTAGAGCACAAGCGGTTCATAACGCAGCTTATAACAATTCATCATAATTATTTAACGATGATTAATAATAAATACTATATATATATATATATATATTGTTATAACCTAATTAGATTAAATCCTGTTTTTATTTGATTAGTAAATATCTTAATTATTTTTCTTTTTATTTTTTCACTTAATTAATAATTTTAATGATATAAATGTATAATACAAAACACGCATAAACACACCACATGCATATATCTACATGTAAATATATATTGTAGAAGAAAAAACATACCTTTAATAATAATAAACTTGTTATCATTTAATTATTAATAATATAAAAAAACTACCTTAATGCGTAAAAAAAATTTGGGGCAGAAATAAATTATTCGTTTTGGATAATTGAGCCTGCTGGTCGTTTCAATTATGATTAAGTGATGGCGATAATGGATAAGAAAAGAAAGTTCTTATTTTATGTATCTTCGTGTCCTTTTGCTGAAGAGCAAACTTGTAAAACTTATATTAGTGAAATCAGTGACTTGTTATCAAAAACTCGGATATTTTTACCCCAATATTATCTTAAGAAGGCTAAAGTCGATTCATTTGCAAAAGCATTCATAGCCACAACGTGAACAGTTGACTTAACAAACCTCGCATGGCGTTTTCAGATTCTCGTGCATGGATCCCGCTTGACATTTGATGCATGATGGCATTCGCTTCGTCTAAGATAATTACATAAAAACGACCCCTTGAAGAGCAAGGCGATGGGTACTTTCGACCTGAACAGTAATAACATCCCAGCCACGTATAGCTAAATCACCATTATTTCTTGATAATGGCACACACGAAGTCCCGAATTCTGTAATATTTCAACTTTGCTCTAATTTCATTAACAATAATCTCTATAGAAACAGGTGAGCGAATTAGTGTTGTAGTGGGTTTCTCACTCGAGAAATCCGGATAAGCTTCTGGGACATCTTCCATCTCTTTAACAGGAAAATTTTACATTTAATGATTTTTTAAATATAATAAATAATACTTGGTAAAATTTGCAAAAATTAAATAATAATGCTCTTGTTAATTCTCATGAATAAAGTAGAAAAGATATTTTTTTCATTAGTCAAAAAAAAAACAAGGAGCTTTCTGAAAATGAAAAAGAAGGTTGTAAAGAAGATTTTATTATATTTTTGAATTAAGAAATGCAAGGAATAAGTGGGGAAACCAAAAGAATGTAACAAGTGTAAAGTGACAAGATACTCTGATAGGCTCTGTGAAGGTTGCTTACAATCACAGAGTTTTTTCACTACTTGGACATCTGGAAATAACATAGTTGATAACTTTATTATTCAACAATGTCAAATGAAATCATATTTACCAAGTTGTGTTTTAGAATGAATCCATATTTACCATTAAGTTTCTGATTTCATTTTGATCAAAGAGTGATATTAATTGAACGCGCGAGTAGATCAGTTTTATTGATCATCGTTAAAATTTAAAAAGCCCTTTAGAGAAATGTTTAATATTTGTAAACTTCTTCAAATATTTATTGTCCCTTTTCTTTATTTTCTTCTTCTGGGAATTTACGTTTTATAATTTCTTTGATAAAAGGTATTGAGTGTATATATATAAAAGCAAAAAAAATGTTTTAATTTTTGCGCTAAAGTAAAAATAGAAATAACGCACTCTCCATTTCTACTAGTTTACTTCCGATGCATCTGCTTTATCGCCGACTCTCTTGGTCAAAAGATTTCTCAACTTATTGTAAAGAAAGTTCACACATTTTTCAATTTGCTGCGAAATACGAGTATTTCAAATGTTTGTTTAATTGGATGCATCCACCTTGTTTATTTAAAAAAATCCTTAAAATTGATTTACGTTATGTTCATTACATCATTTTAATCTTCATATAGTATAGTAGACGCCAATTACATCATTATTGCATCTCAAATAAAAATAACCACTATTATTGGTTAAAACCAATTTATCGTGCGTGTATATATATAATGCTCAATTCCTTCTCAAGCTTAATAATTTCAATAATAAAAATCAAATATATATAAAATTAATTTTAATTATTTTAAATAATAAAAATCAAATATATATAAAAAGTAATTTTAATTATTTTAATTTCAATAATAAAAATAAAAAATGTCTTCAGAAACTAATAAAAACAATAAAAAAGAATCCCACAAAAAAACGCCAGATCCAATAGCTCATGTGACCACTCATGGTTCTACAGCTCTAGGAGGTGTGGGTTCAAATCCTTCAATTGAAGAGCAAGAAAGAGAACATGTTGCTCATGTCCCACAATACGGTAGTACGGCTCTTGAGGGTGTAGGTGTCATTAATGATCCTACCAATAGTCAGCCTATTAATAATAATACTACTACTACTAATATTGATACTTCAGGTAAAATCAGTTTAATCAATATTTTTATTTGACATTATGATCTTATCATTATTATTTTTATTAATAATCATATTCACATAATGGATTATTAGAAGATAAAAAAGACGAGGGAATGATCGCCAAAGCCATTGATGCCGTGAAGGTATTTATTTATTTATTTTTTATTTATCTTATATTTATACTTGAAAAAAATATATAAACTTTTTATAATTTAGGAAACTATCCTTGGTAAATAATTAATTGGGCTGGAAAATGAACAATGTTATTTTTTATTATTATTATTTTTATTATCGGGTGATTTATGGGATGATGTTAATCCTTTTTCCGAATTACTATAAAATAAACCTTTCAAAAATTATTTTAAAAAAAACTTTCTATCAATATGATTATAAATATCAATAATATATAAAAATGGAAAACTTTCAAGACAAGAAACGTAATCGAAGTATGGATGAATTATCGCATCAATATAATTATGATTATAATTTATTACACCAAAAACGTAGAAAGTATAATAACAATAATATAATTAATGAACATACAACTTTATCATCATCATCATCATCATTGCCGTCAACGTTAAAAGATTTGAAATTGATAAATGAAAAAAATAATAAAGCCGCATTTGTTGAAAATTTGATTGGTGAGTGAATAATTGTTTGAATTGTTTTATTATAACCAAATATATTTATACTTATACGTGCGTGCGTACATGCGTAAATTATCCAGATGCGACTCGTTTAATGTTAGAGGTGATTTGGCCTGGTTGTGACAATACAAAATCAAATTTATTATCTTTAAAAACCTTTTTGGAAGAAATTTTAAAAAGATCAAGAACTTCATGTTCAACCCTTCAAACTGCATTATTTTACTTATTTAGAATTAGGCCGAAGATTGAAATATTAAAAGAACAAATTTATAAAATATCTCCAACAGCGCCTATAACGGCGATACTTTGTTGCAGAAGAATGTTTTTAATTTCGTTGATAATTGCATCAAAATATCTTCAAGATCGTAATCACTCCAACAAAGCTTGGTCGAAAATAACTGGTCTAGCTGTCAAAGAAATTAACTCTTATGAAATATTTTTTCTGCGATTGATCAATTACAATTTATACGTCACCTATGACTCTTTTGAAAATTGGTGCGTTTTATTGTTAAGCAATATTCGATCGATATCAGGCGAAGGATTCATACAACATGACGGCTTCAAGAAGTTAGAAAATCAAGACAAAGTAAATTCATTCAGAGAGATTTTAAATTCATTAAATATAGAAAGTTTATAATTTTACGATTATTCATTGTTGTTGCAATTATTTATTTGCTCTAGAATTATTATTATTAATAATACGAATTATTTCTATTTTAATATAAATAAATAAATATTAATGTTAGGGTGTCCAAGATTATGCTTTTTTTTTTCATAATCTTCGGGCAAATTCATAATAATATTCAGAAAAATTAAAATACATGAAATTTAATTTTTCTTTTAAAGCTGTGCGTTTATCAGTTAATATACTGTTATAAATCGAAAAATATCTTTCAACATCAACACTGGACACAGAAAGTTTCACCAACAGTTATTTTATTTTTTATTAAATTTTTTAATTCCTGTACTTCAAATTCATAACTCATTGGCAAATATTTTTCTCGAAGTTGATTTGAACCTACAATAATATAATCTCTTAGGAAATAATAAAAATAAAAATAAATGATAATTTACATTAAAATATTCAAATTATTTTAATTT